CGAAAGACAGTTAAGCGGAACGTTAGCTCATTCCCGCCTTCACATCTTGAAAAATAACTGTGTTGTGATTCTTCCTGCGTGATGAAAAATAACGGCAACTTTTTCTTCGTGTGCGAGAGATGAGTGAAATGTGTAATAATGAATGAGCTATAAATCTTCAATGCACAATAATCGGTGTTTCAAATCTCGTTCAAAGTCTGGCAATAAAATAGAGATTATCCACGGTACGCTTCATGGACTTTCATCTTAACTCAAACACCTCGATAATTAGCTACAACTTTAACATATAATCTCGCGTGCAATTAAATAGTCCGCGCATGAGCGCAGTTGATTCGCTCGAGCGATCGCGACGTCGATTTATTTCGAGACAAATTTTTACGTTGCTTCTGCTCAAGGATCCCAATGGATCCAAAAAAATTCAAGGATTCGATATTCCAAAAACAAAAAAAAAACATCGGTGCGAGGTTAATCTAAGGAAAACCCAAATGTTAGCTTCGATTCTCGAAATGGAACTTTATAGTTCTTTTGTTATTCCCGGAGGATGTAATCGTCCGGGTGAAACTTGTGAAACTCGCTGCGCGAGATGCTTCCTTTTGCAATTCTTGCCGGATGACGTTTCGCGGACCGATGTGAAAAATCGGAGAAAGGGTAGAGGCGCCGTATCCGAGATTTCCACGGCCGCGGCCGGTGATTTCAACGAGCGGTAGCTGGCACAAATGCGTAACCGTTTGCGCCGCATGCAGTGTCATTATTGCACCGGTGCACAATCATTCCAATAACGATAACAGCGATCGATTAATTACATGGCACAAAGTGAGATTCAGTACTAATTGGTTTTTTTGCTTGCTCGGGATATATAAGGCGTTTCAAAAACTTGTGCTACAAAATACTTAATTTGCATTCGTTTTTTTTCTAACGTGAATTTAATTCACAATTGAACAATTTTTGAACACACGAATTAATCTGTAGAATTTCCGCGTATACATTTAGATATTTTTTAATATTTAATTGCTTAAAAATTAATTGTTAAAACAAATCATTCAAATTTCTGTAGACGAATGAGTAGTAGATGAATGTTCTCTCCTGAAATGAAATTTACGTTAGGACACCCTGTATATGCTGTATCTGCTTTTCCATATGTAGACGAAGCTATAATATGATTAGAATCAATGAAGACTGCAGCTGTGTAGTCGCCCATCTGCGACTCGACTTCGCCTCGAGGCGAATATCAGCGATACACGCGCATAGACACACGCGTAGAACTTGATTCTTTGATAGCGTATCCGTTTCGAAGGAATACATCTCGACATTTCTCCTATGATTAACCAATCAAATTATTCCACAAACATGTATTTTTATCTCTTCGAAACACAACTATTTCGTAATGCTATTTAAACCTACATCTTCTCAACCAAATCCGCGTTTCTATAATTCATCCATTCATATGGCAGCATTATGAATGAACAGCTAATTGAGATTCGCGCGCGTTCGTTTCTCCGGGCATCAGGGGTGCCGGCCTTGGAACTTTCGATAGAATCCACTGGGTCGGGAAGTTTTCGGCAATTTTGGAGCTGCAAATTGCATAACCTGTTATCCATCGAGGAATGCAGCAATTTACCGTGCACGGTCGCTTCGACGTAACTTCTGTCGCCAAGAATACAGTGTACGTCTCAGCGATTTGGCATAAAAAAAAGAGAGAGAAAGAAAGGGACCGGTATTGTCATCGGTATCTCAATGGCGCAATCGGATCTCGATCGCACTCGGATTATAGCGTGGCTCGACACTTTGGATGTAAAGCAGGTCACTTTCTTGTGAAACGATAACTGAACTCTGCATGGAAGTGTTTGTACCTTATTTGACAGAATTAAGCGTGGTACAAGGTGCGTTGTATTAACAAGACGCTGCCGCTTCGATTAAACTAATGTTGATTCTTCTTCTATTTCCAATTCTTGACCACCTTCTTTTCAAGGATAAAACACCAGCCGGTGCCTTTGGAAGTCGTAAAACTATTGCACAGTGAATGACAAATTGTTCTATTAATTAAGCACTGCCCACGACTAATTTATCGTCGGCTAATTTCTTTCTTCGCCAGCTGCGATCCGTATGCAGGAATAATTGGCAGCTCCATAATTGCATGACGCTCGAAAAAGCAAATTGTATCTCTTATAACAAACGTGTACCGTTTATTAACATGTTGCATTACGCAAGAACCGCATAAGGAGCCGCTGTCACAAACGTCAAAAGATTCACGCAATTTTAACTTGAATATAGGTCACGCATGCCATATAATTTGCCTTCGCAAATTATATTCTCGTGCAAATTATATTAGGCTAGTGTCAGATGCAACTAGTGCAAATATAATCGGCGATATTGATATTTAAGTATCGATTTTCTGCGGTATAAATAAGTGTCATTTATTAATTGGAGATATCGTTAACGTTGCGAGTTCTATAGAATTTGCATTCTCGTCTGATATAAACATTGCATAATTATGTCAAATTTTAACATCATGCCAGATACATCAGCAAAGATCCAATCATCTATATTTTATATTTCAAATACCAAATATTTCTACATTTTGTCACCCCAAAAAATGTATTTTCTCTTTTTTTAATGTATAATTAGCGCAAGTAATGTGTCATAATAAAAATGAAAATGCACAACAAACGATTTAGCTCTAAAATGTCAAACTCTCGGCAAATTGAATTATTTATGTTGAAATATGTTGAAAATTTTTACAAAAATGGAAAGCAAGAGAAGTTAATGACTTTTTGAAGAAAGAGGAACTCATCCATTTCACTCGTGGGATCTTGCATCGTCGTGTGAGACCACGTCGGGATTTCTATTTATGCCGAACCCGAAGATATCGAAATACGCAGATCGGGTATCCTACTGAGATCGTATGAACCGTAGCTGGTCGGGCGAGTAAGAAATGGATGGGAGTCGTCGGATGTATCGCATCGTCCCGGGCCCCGTGGTTTAACCCCCCCTCCCTTTTCTTGTTGCGATTTGCGATCGCAAATAGACTGTAATGATGAATATAGACATGTGAGTGCCTGCGAACATGGACTTTCGAATGCATCGATTTCATATTTTATAAAAAGTGTGTCACATAAACGAGTGATTGCGGATGGAGAAAGTGAAGGTTGATCGGTCGTTGACCTTTACAGCTATAATTTGGAGTTTAATCTGCTTACAATTGGTACAATAAGATCATTCAATGTCAATCTGAAGTTAGAATCAAACAATCGGTAATTCGATGTTGAATAGGTATTCTGTTCGTGTCACTCGAAACTGTTAACTTTGAAATGAGAAAAAATCTAGAATAATGTAGTGCGGATATTGTGCAAATTATTCGAAATTGTGCCATTAAAATGATAAGATTCTATCCGTTACTAAACTATATCTCATTTTTAACAAAAAAAATAAATAAATAAAGTGCATTTGCAAATCGTCGTAAATTTTAAAAGTTGTGATTTTTGATAAAAGGAATGATTGAAGTAATGATAATGTTTGTTATTCACTTGCCGTAATCTGGCGTTAAATATGTGTTAGAAATACAGGTCAAGTGCGGGTCCGTCGTCGCGCTGATCGACCGTTTCTACATTGGCGGTGGGATCGAGGCCGTGGTCGCGCGCCACGCGGCAATACGGCCCTGGATCTGGGCCCGAGCGATGACGGTCCGCAGCGAGGAGTACCATACTCGTCTCGTCGTTCGGCTCGGTCGAGTCTCGCGGCGTCGTGTTGGATCGCCACGATTTACGTTTACGTTCTGACATTTTCTTCGCGTCGCGTATGTGCGTGCACTGTGCTGTGTCGTGTTTCTCGCAGTGTCTCTTGGAGTTTGTCTCGAGGATTCGTCCTCGTCCTACAACGCGTGATGCAGCTGCGACAAGCTGCGACGTCGCGATCGTCCTCCGCAGCGGACAGCGTTGTTCGCGGCGAGCGAACCGATCTCGTGCAGCTGCGGGAGTGAGGGACAGCAGCCGCCTGTTTCTCTCGTCGTAAGATCCTGGCGAGGCAGGATCGATGTGCGCGTCCGTATCGAGTGAAGCGTTTCGTTCGTATTCGATCGCGAGATTAATCCAACCCAATTCCTTTTTTTCTTCCTTTTTTTTTTCTCTAATCTAGGTTCTTCTAGGATCTCTCTTTAGGTTTTCGCTTGAGCCGCGAACCGCCGAGGTAATTAATGCGCGATTCGGTGACATGAATTCCGACGTTGCAGTCACGCGAGAATAATTTCCGTGTCATTTGCGATATGTAATAAATGCCTTTTTTTCTTCTTCCGCACCTTTGGGAATAAAACTCTCATATTGCACCGGTTTCAATCTCGCGAATTTGTTTCCATCCAAGAATTAATTAGACGAGATTTTTCCACTCTTTTCGAAGTTGATGTCGATAGGACGATCGCGTCCTGTCGCGCGGGCGGCAGGAAGGTTAGGTAATGAGTTCGCGCTGCGAGTCACGTTGCACTTCCGGGAATCTGGAATTCGATTCGAAGCGGCTGACTGGCGGCCTATATCGGCGCGCCGAGTACTGTTATTATAATCGGGGAAACCGTATAACGGTGTTCGCGAAAGGGTGCGGGCACGAGCGTTGTTTGCGCACGAAAATGAGCGTGGGACGCGAAACCGCCCATATATACATATATATTCCAATCGTCTATTTAATCGGTCGACCATTAACTCTCACTCTGTTAAATCGACTGACAAATCGATGCCCGTTTCTTTGATAGAGAAAAATTATTATTAATCTGTCAGAGAAATTATCATTAAACTTTAATATGCTTCAAAATCACTCGACAGTAAATATGGATGCAAAGTTCGGTGAGAGTTGATTGATGACGAAAACTTGTATAAAATATCATTCATATTTGCAATTAGTTATTTTGAGCAGATTGTTATATGCAGGAAAATTTTGCTTTCGTGGTGCCAAGATGAATAATGATATGAGTAACGTCATAGATTGTTGAATTAACTATGTTAATTGCAAATTTCCAGGGTCACCTTGGCGAGTTGGCATCATGCCTGCACCGAAAATGTCAGTGATCGGTGATTCCATCAGGTTAGTGCCTGCTGGTAGTCCCGCCCTCTTCGAGCTGTCCGCATTAGGTTTTAGCAGCAGTGAGATTGATGTCCAAATAATAAGTGAGTATTAATTTACATGTTAATTATTAATTCGCTTTGCAACAATTTATAAACTCATTTATTACTTACTAAATGTATTAAATGTATAATACTAAATGTATTATGAATTGCAGCACCTTCGAAGAGGCATATTCCTGCGAGAATTGAGGAGGAGCCAGGACGATCCGGTGAATTTCGCGTTGAGTTCACCCCGACTGAAGTGGGCAGTCACCTTGTGGAAGTGAGCATCGCGGGACAGAAGCTACCGGCGGGACCTCTCGTCGCCAAGGTGTACAACAGTAGTCTGATCCAAGTTACTGACGTACCTAGCGCCGTAGTTGGTCATGCCTGTCAATTCAGAGGTAAGTTCACTCCGTTTACACTTTACGTCTCGTGCTCGTGAACATGTCTCAAATCTATAACTCTTGCAGTGGATGCCAGCGCTGCTGGAGAAGGCCAGTTGGAAATCTCCATAAACGAGGGAGAAGTGCCTAATCATGTTCAAGTAGTTGGTGGTGGTCGTTGCCTCGTATCCTTCACCCCCGAAATTGCCAAGCCTCATTATATCGACATAAAGTTTAACGGAGAAGCAGTACGCGGATGTCCTTTCATCTGCAACGTATCGGACACGAGCAGAGTTACACTGAGTTTGAATCATTTAGAATTAATTCCCGTCGATCAGCCTGCCAGCTTTCACATGGGAGTCGATGGAAGCGGCAGCGCGGAACTCGCGGTTTCCGTACGGGGTTAGTTGATGAACACCTACCTGCTGTTTACAACTATTAGAACTTGGAACCTAAATCCTCGAGTAACTTATTCGATGTTATATATGGAAATTTTATAAATTGGAACAAATTAAATTAATACCTAAATTCTTCGTTAACATAGTTGAGTTTATATATTCAAGTCTTATAAAGATGTCAATAAGATGTATATTTATAACAAAAAACCATGTATCAAATAATTATATCTATATAATCATTCTCTAATTACACAGATTTTTTTAACTATTTTTGTAGGACCGAACAGTGAATTGCCAGTTAAAGTTACTGGCGACATAACTAGCGGTTTCACCGCGGAGTTTATACCGAGGGACGTGGGTGTACATTCGATTAGTGTAGAATACAACGGCTACCCCGTGAATGGCACGCCGTTCTTAGCTAAAGCGTTTAACGCGGACAAAGTACTAATTGGACCTGTAGCTAGAGGCAGTGTCGGTCAACCAACCCATTTCACTGGTACGTAATATTTGGAATTAAATAAATATCAGATAAAATTTAATAAATATTTTCATCATCGCGTTAACTGTCCAAGTTTATACCAATTTATACCAATCACCTTTTTCGGCAGTCGATGCAAGTCAAGCTGGTGAAGGAAATCTGGAGATTACGATATCGGCTCGCGGCCAAAATATTCCCACGCAAGTGACGCCGCAAGGAAACGCGCGGTTCTCCGTCAGCTTCGTACCGTTTGAGGCGTGCGAGCACGTTATCAATATAGCTTTTAATAAGAAAACTGTGCCAGGATGCCCTATAGTGACGCGAGTGGGGGGCGACAGTCATGTAACTGTGAGTGGACAGGCGTTAAGCAGCGCTGGATTAGGACGGCAAAGCTATCTGACTGTCAGTAACGTTGCCGGTAGCTTGGAGGATTTAGAAGTTAATGTTGAAGGTAAATATATGTTGCACGAAATACGTTTCACAATCTGCACGAGTTACTGACACAAATGTGACTTATTTGTTAGCATGTTGGCGTATCGCTTCGTTTGAAATTGAACTGCCATTCGGTAAAATTTGTATTTTAGTGATATTTTGTACGAGTGAGATTTTTCCAAAATACGCGATCGATGCTTTTACGCAAAATTGCATTTTCTTTAAGAAATATTATGTACATTTGCGACATTTATGTGAACGCACCACAGACTCACACATATACACATATATATATATATATATATATAATGCCACCAACAAAAATGCACAGAAGCATCCATGTGTTAATTCACCTTGTACTTAATAATATCGGAAGGGATTCCTTGTTTTTCGTTTTTAACGTCATGTCGGCGTAATTGTCTCGGAGACTTGTACAGGATTGTTTCATCTATCTCGTTAATCTGTAGCTTGAGAGCAATTCTCTCTCTCTCTGTTGCAGGTCGGCCAGCTTTCAGACTACGACATTACTAGACTACTACAAAAAAAAAAGAAAAAAAGCAAAACTAATCTCTTATCTTAATTTATGGACTATAACGATACACACGGTGGTGGGTTGCTAACTCAATCTTCTGAAAATCTTGCGTAAGGGTAGTCTAATTACCATACTCTTTTACTCACACATTCCTTATATTTGTTGGTTACCACTCAAGGGTATTACGAGCGCTTGGGTTCTACTGATTGTGGGAAAAGTATGGGCAAAACACTATATCTAACACTTGCATTCCCACTTTCACGAGATGTATTTAACTCGCGTTAAAGCCATTTTTACGGTGCTACATATTTTTACATTTAGTCATTAATTGTTAAACGTCCTGATGTAACGATCTTTGCCGGGATATCGGATCATACAGTGCCTTAACAAGCGTGCCAATGTCTCTCGTGCCAATGTCTCTTCTACGTAACGGAGCATTTATATTATCACGTTTAATCTCTCAAATATGTCTTTGCTCTGCCGATTGCTCTGCTCAAGCATGCTACAAATAAAATTAGGACATAATATCGGTGCGTTTGATGTACGCTGAAGCAAATTAGAAGTAATTTATCGGTCGAGAGATACGTAGCTTTCTTTCATTAGTCGCAGTAACAATAATTTATCGTAGCCATTCTTTCCGCGCATTAGTTGGCTTTTTTTAACGTTTGCTTATTGCGGATTTGAGCCATGCAACGATATCAGAAGCAATCGAACGTACGCGAACCTGTTCGCTGGCCATTCCGCCGGTGCCCCTGCGATCCGCCCTAAGTAGATGGCTGACTCTGAACGATATATTAAACGACTAACCCGCCGGACTTGATAGGACCCAATGGACAGGCCGTACCTGCTCAGGTCACTGACAACAAAGATACAACGTGCAGCGTGGCGTTTACACCGAGAGTCGTCGGCGAACACCGGATATCAGTGAGCCACCGGAATATCCCGGTGGTCGGCAGTCCGTTCAGCTGCAAGGTGTACGATGTTGCCGCGATAAAAGTGAAGGACGCCAAGCGAGGTGTCATCGGGTTGCCCGTAACATTCTTGGGTACGTCTTTGTCACTTACATTCGCGATCGCGCTTGCGGAACGCGAATTCGTCCGTACAAGTGCGTCCGTAATTTCCCCATTTTCTCCTTCCAGTTGAGACTAGTCAGGCGGGACCAGGAAATCTAGAAGTCACCGTAAATGGTGGACGTGTGCCGACGTCGGCTCAGGCGCAGGGTCCTCACACTTACGCGATTTCGTTTACACCTCGCGAACCGATCGCGCACACTGTGGATTTGCGATTCAACGGGGAAGACGTACCTGGCAGCCCATTCAGCTGTCAGGTATTTTATCCTTCTTATGTCACATATTTAAATCTAAGTGTAAAAGTTGTATTATCTAAAGTTAAAATTACTTTATATATTATTATAATTTGATTATTTTACATTTCCACAATAATTGTAATCAATTACATATATATATGACGGATATAAAAGTTTTATTCAAACTATTCAGGTGAGCGATACGGCAAAAGTGCTAATAACCGAGGGACTCGAGAAAGTTTCTGTGAATCGGGTCGCGACCTTTACAATAGAGGCTGATGCATCCCTCGGCACACCCGCCGTCGAGGTGCTCTCTCCCACTAGAGAGAGTTTATCTGTACACATGAAGCAGAACAGTCATGGCACATACACCGTTGGATTCACTCCAAAGGACGTTGGTATGTTGTAGATAAATGACATGGGAAATATAATTGTACAATTGTTATCGTTTAAACGATGTTTGTCATAGGCGATCACAGCGTGGAAGTGAAGCTCGGTGGATCGCATGTGGAGGGCAGTCCGTTTCTCGTCAAGGCTTACAATGCTGATAAAGTCAAGGTGACGGATATAAATAGCGGAGTCGTCGGGAAACCGGTTTTCTTTAGCAGTAAGATTATTTTCTTTATGCCGATGCGATGAATCGTTATTTGATTAGATATAACATCCTTTATTTATCATTCTAGTCAACGCTAGTCAGGCTGGGGCTGGAAATCTGGAAATCATAGTCGCGGTGAACGGCAAGAACGTTCCAAATTACGTGCAAAGTGAGGGCAATGCAAAGTTCAGAGTCAACTTTAAGCCGCAAGAAGCTGCTGTACATAGCCTTAGCGTTCGTTTCAACGGAGAGCCAGTGCCAGGTATAAAGACAATCCATCCGATCGTGTGAGAGCCTGTCTTCGCAGTTTGTTCGACACTCGCCTAAATTCTCAGGTTCGCCGTTCAGCTGTAAGGTGGTAGGCGCCGGTCAAGCGACCATTTCCGGTCACAATCTAAAAATGGGTGCTGTGAAGCGACTGATATCCTTCACCGTAGATCCGCAGACTGCATCGACGAATTGCGACGTTATTGCGACGCCACCGTCGAGCATCGCTCTGCCTATCACCATCGAGCCTATTGACGGCAAGTACAACGTGAGCCTTGTGCCCACTGAAGTCGGCAGACACAACATCAGCGTCCTGGTGGACGGCGAATCGATCAAAGGTTCTCCTTTCGCTTGCAATATTTACGATGTGACCAAGGTAAGTGATTTGACGATTGGAAATTACGGAGAGTTTTCTGCTTTTTTTCCACTTTCCACTAAATCGTAACGATTGTAGGTACATGTGTCTGGCCTCACAGAGGCATTACTGGGCCAAGCGACCACGTTTACCGTCGATGCCGCGGAAGCCGGCGAGGGAACGCTGGAATTGGTAGTGAGCACTGAAAACAACACTGTTAAAGCCGAGGTCGTGGCCTGTGCTCGAGGATTGTACGATGTCACGTTCGTGCCACAGACGACGAGTGCGCATTACGTTAATATCAGTTTCAACGATGATAACGTGCCAGGTTCGCAAACAATTTCATCGATTAACATTTTCGAAAGTCGTCCTTCAAAAGGCCAAGGAGATTCACTATGTTGATCTGCTTACGCTAGGGAGTCCATTTAAATGCCCCGTCGTTAGCGGCATGTTACACGGTCCATCGATGGTTCGAATTGGCAACACGGCTTACATAGATCTGGACATGTCCGACTTGAATGGTCCTGTCGCCGCAGAAGTTACCGGTAAACTATTTTTTTATACGAATGAAAATCTCCGATCCAGTTTTATAAGAAATGTAATTTATTTCGCCTATCTTTTGCGCTTTTAATCCAGGCCCGGACGGAATCATTATTCCGTGTACATTGACGAAATTATCGTCCACTTTATATCGCGTGGAAGTTCGAACGCGACAAGTAGGAACGTATAGCATAATATTTAACGACGGACACAGGATGGTCAGTTCGCAAACACTTCAAGCTTTCGATCCCGGCAAGGTGTCCATCAAGGAAATAGCGGATGTGGTTTGTCATCGACCTGGAACTATTTTAGGTAATTTGGATCTGTGAGCTTTAATTATAATACTTGATTCGCTAAATATTTTTATCTGTGTAACATAGAAATTATTTATCAAATAAAAGTACGAATAACACTTTGTTTCTTCTACAGTTGTTGCATCGAAGGAAGCTGGTCCCGGAAAGTTGTCGGTGAACGTGCGAGCTGGTGGTGCGGATGTCGACAGTTTAGTGAGAGAAGCGGACAACGGTGTCTACGAGATTGTATTTCATCCAACACGCGCCGCGCCTCACAAAGTTCACGTAAAATACAACCAAGTCCATATTCCTGGTACAGTAAATTACTCACTTCTATTAGTAACATTGAAAAGTCATTATCTGCTATAAAATTTTATAATTTTATGAAATAATTATATAAATTATTTATTATTGTTTTATAAATTGAAAAAATAATAAATTAGAATTAGAGTTTAAACGGCTGTTATACGTTTTTATTTCTACTTCATAAAGAATATATCATAATTTACTATGATGTATTTTAATTTACTATATTTTTATTTAATTTTGCTTACAGGAAGCCCGTTGGATGTGACTGTACGCGGTCCTACGGGAGGACGAGAAGTGACAGCGACGGGATTGGGTTTGTACCAATCGTGCATCGGAAAAGTGACATCCTTCACGATCGAGACACTTGGACGTCCCGGCAAGGAATTCGATGTCGTTATCAGTGGTCCGCAGGGTAACGCCGTACCCGTACGTTGTTATCAACATCGCGATGGCAATTTGCTTGCTGAATTCACGACAAATAGCGTTGGTAAGATTGGAGATGAACTCTTTGTTCTTATGCGTAAAGTGTTGTAAATATAAATCAAAATATAAAAAAAATCATTGACTTTTTCATTATATATAATTAAAATAAAATTATTTTTCGCTCAGGTACATATAAAATCGACGTGTTGCACGGAGCGAAATCGGTGCTAGGCTCACCATTCTTCTGCCAAGCCTTCGATGCTGCCAAGGTGAAGCTTCAGGAGTTGGGTCCCATGACGATTTCAGTTCACGATCACATCGCATTCAAACGTGAGTGAGATAATTACAGCGTGCGCATCGCGTATGTTTTTCTCCGTGCGAATGGCATCGTTTTCACGCGCGAAGAAAGTGTCGATGTGACCCAGATCGAGCGATACGATTGAAATCGAGTTATCCGGCTAGCCGAGGAACTGTGTTAACGCTGCTGAGTAACCGTCTAGCGGAACATGAACGCGTAATATCACGCTTACATGAGATGTAAGTGTATCCAGCATTGCATTCCGTGCTTATATAAATGTGCCAGCACACTCGCGTACGCATGGGCGGGAGAAAGTAGCGAGCGTTTTCTAGTGCACCGCGTTAACTGTGCAACGCGTTTCAAGGCCGCGACGTTGGAATATAATTGCAGCAGATAGCTCAAACAAACACAGACCACTTTCAAATAGCCTTGCTTCATACGTCGTCGAGCGAACAGTCGTGATACACATCGCGCGCCGTGATATTGTATTCGAGCGCGTTGTTCGCCAGCAGCTGGTGTTGGAAACGCCAAGGAAAAATCACAGATTATCGCAGTTACCGCAGTTGGATATATCGTGTTACAGTGATGAAAGCTGACGCTGGCATGGCTGATCTGGACGTGACTGCGACGAGTCCCTCAGGTCAGGAGATCCCTCTGCAAGTCACTCCGCTTAACGATGGTGCTGAAATGATCGAGTTCTCGCCCAGCGTGCCTGGCACTTACATGATCAACGTTACATACGGTAATAATTATCTTTAAGCGTCTTTTGTGAATAAAACGTTTTGTATTAATCTTTTCAATTATTTTCAAGCGCAAAAATGATTATTTCTTGAACATTTTTGGTAAAACTTTGTGAAAATATTTATATTTCTAATTATTTTCGAGTGCAAAAGCTTGTATTCTTTAAGCTTCTTCTTTGTGAAAGAAACTTTCTATATTTATCTTTTTTATATTTTTATTTCCAATTATAACTGTTGACAGGCGGATGCTCTGTGCCTGGAAGCCCAGTGGCATGCACCGTCGATGCGGCCGGACAGGCTCGCGCGAAAGGCGAAGGATTGCTGAATGGTCATGTGGGTAAACCGGCGCACTTTATCGTCACCGGTACGAGAAGTCCTCCGGCAGTTCAGGTATTTGCATACGAGAAAGTTGTTTCATCGATGCGCGTAGGATGTGCGGAATCTTTTTGTTTAACTATACTTGTCGCAGGTGGATGGACCGGACAGCGTTTCTAAAGCTACCATCGAAGCGGGTGCTAATCCAGGTACGTGGAACGTGTCTTACGTACCGACTGAAGTTGGAGTGTTCGACATAAGAGTGGTTTCCGCCGGGCAACAGCTGCCGGGATCTCCGTGGCATCCAAAGATCATCGACACGCGGAATCTTCGCGTTATAGGTAAACAATCGGAGCAATTTAATGCCGTAAGAATTTTCCATGTGTCTTCCTACTTAGAATTTCCTTACGATCGTAGGTGGTTGGTCCGCTGTATGCGACGATATCGGTCGGTTGAAACTGCATCCTTCGAACAAAGTAAGCTTCGACACCGCGGAAGCTGGACCCGGCGAGATCAACGGAACTATCGGCGATTATCCCCTCGCCTTCGAAATGACATCCAGCAACAGGCTAAAACTCGTTCCGCCGCAGATTAGCAGCGGCGAGCATCGTCTGGAGATACTGTTCAACGGTACACCGTTTCCCGGTGCACCAAAGCTTGCGATCGTGCAAGACTTGGAGGTTTTCTATCAATTGGATTTAATTTTGAAAAAAAACTTTCGGAAACTGCATATCACGTAATTATCACTATCTATTTTTATCAGCTACCGATGCAGGATACAAGTCGCGTGTTACTGAAGGGACGAGGATTAACGTCGGCCAAATGTGGCGAGGAAGTCAGTTTCACCATAGACGGTTCTCAAGCCGGTAGCGGGACCCCGAAAGTGCAGCTATTTTCACCTACCAGCGAACTAAATGTTATGTTGCAACATTTGGGTAAGAAAATGGATGAATCTGCGAATACACGTAAAAAACGCGACTCTAAATATGTTTCGAAACGTATGTATATAGGCGACAGCGTTTATCGCGCAAGCTATATACCGCTAACGCCGGATCCACTCTTGATGACGGTATCGTGGAACGGAAGGCAATTGAAAGGCTGCCCTCTGCAAATTAACGTTACCAGCGCGGCCGACGCGTCGAGGGTGATCTGTTCGGGAGATGGATTAAAATACGGTGTCGTCGGGCAAGAGATCCGAAGCTTCATCGATACGAGAAGAGCTGGACCAGGTAAAGAATTATTTTTCACGGATATTTACTGCTTTGGACACTTTTTTCTTAGAAACTTTTTTATCAGGTGAATTAACGGCGCATTGTGTTGGGCCGCACAAAGTTGCGTATTGCGAGTTGTACGATCACGGCGATGCCACATTTACATTGAATGTGAAGCCTCAGGAAGCGGGACGGCATGCATTGACGATTAAATACGCTGGAGAACATGTCCCTGGTTCTCCGTTTACGTTGCGTGTTTCCGGAGCCCCAGACGCCTCAAAGGTACCAAAAATATTTGACAATATATTAAAGTTTTCTATGAAAAATTTTACTAATTGATAAAACTATCTTAAAATTTAATATACATTTTAAAATTTAAATCAGATTAAATTAAACGCTTTTCGAATTAATAACAATATTAGTATGCTGATTCATCGAAATAAAAATTAATTTTCCCAGTAAATCAAATTAATTACTACACGCAAAATATCAGGTTCGCGTTTACGGACCTGGAATCGAACATGGTGTACTGGCGACCTTTCAGTCGCGGTTTATATGCGACACGCGAGGCGCTGGCGCTGGTCAGCTTACAGTGAGAGTACGCGGCCCTAAAGGTGCATTTAGGGTGGAAATGCAACGAGAGACTCAAAAAGATCGCATCATTCTCTGCCGGTACGATCCGACGGAGCCTGGGGATTACAGAGTGGAGGTTCGTTGGGCTGGTGTCTTGGTGCCAGGATCACCGTTCCCCGTTAAAATTGTCGACACACAAGACGAATTACTAATGCTCACACAGGTATAAGAATAGTAATCATTTTTTAATTCATACGTCAAAATCAACATATTGATTATCTGCATTTATTTTTTAAATGAAATGTACAATTAAATATTTACTGTGAATATTAAATATGTATATATATGTATATGTATAAAATGATATTTAAATCTTTAATTGATGATGCTTGTTAAACATTTAATTTAATCAATGATGCTCATAAAACATGTAATTTCATTAATGATGTTTAGACATTATGCAATAGAACAGCATTAAAATAAATGCCGTATTCTTTCATATATTTCAGGGCGGAGATAATTATTCAACAGGCCATCATACTATCACATCGTGGCGTGGATCGCAAGCTATATTATAGAAACGCCGCGGCTAACATTGTTATTTTGTATGGACTAATATATTTGATAATATATGGTAATTATTGTAACTTATGCAAACGTTTTCAATAAACTCAACATTCCAATAAACATTCTCATTTATTCTTTTCAGCATACTTTTCTGCAGTGTATGTATAAAAAACAATTGTATACAATCTCTTATCTTACTTGTTTCGGCTTCCTGGACTTGCCTGATACGACTTGCATCTGGTACGACGTTATTCTCTTCGTCATCGTCTCCTGCTTTTGGGTGTAGTTCTGCCCTGCTTGAACTGGAACTTACGCAGATGCGGCACAGACTGGAGCTTGAACTCGTTTCTGTACGGGAATTCTTTCTGCAAGAAAGACTTGCGCAGAATCAACAGCGGTCTGAACACTTTAACGTCCCGCTCGACCGCTCAGCGTGTATATGAAATTCCGCTTCCGTGCGGATACTTTTCTCTCGCTTCAACTGGCCGGTAGTTCCATTTCATTGATTTTTCTCTGCGGGCGATAGCAGTAACGATATCATCGGATTGTAGAAGCGCGGCACATCCCACTTTGTATCACGTTTTGCAAAATATTATATCGCTCATTATCTATCCCTTGCCGACCGCCTTCTTGATCGCGAGTACCTGATCCAAACTTGGTAATCTCGAGCGCGCTATTAATACAGCATAGCGCTCCCAGTGCTGCACTGTATCTTCCATCGCAGACATTTTGCTGCTTATTTTTATGAGATTGTTTTTTTTAAGAGTATGCCCTAAGCTCTTTTTTTGCTTTAAAAACTTTGCCTCTAACTTCCATCGTTTGTTTCCAAAAGTTTAATTTATTATCCAGCCATATGTCTAGAAATTTTGCCGTTCTAGAATTGTGTACATACGTTAATTTTATATTAATTTTTAATTCTATATTATAATAGTCTGGTTTGGAAAATTTCATCAGTACTGTCTTCCTAGATTTCAAATCTAATTCTAGTTCTTTGACTCGAGTCGCAATCGTATCTATGGCTCTTTCTAATTTATCTTTATTCTCATTTCTGTTTCTGCCCGTAACAAATTGCAATATCATCAGCAAATTGAACTGTTCTTATATCCTCATCAAAGTCTTTTATAATTTCACTCGTACAGGGTCTTCCATTAAGAGGTTTCATTTTAAATTAATAAAAAAAGGAATAAGTTTTTGAAAACGCTGAGATATATTTATTCTAATCCAAAGTACAGATTGTGCGATTAAACGTGGAACACAATATCATCCAAATGGCCGCCTCGACTTTTCTTACAAATGGTCATTCTTTTGAGGAAATTTTCCATCACGTTTTCGCACAATTGCGGCTCAATTTCGCCAATAACAGTTCGAATATTGTCTTTGAGTGCTTGAATCATTTGCGGAGCATTTGTGTACCAGGTATATGCATAAGTTTTTTCCGGTTTTTTGGTAAAAAAAAAACACGTAATTTTCAAGGGAAATTAATTTTTTTTTATTCAAAATATTGGCCATCGGCTTCTACACATTTCGCCCATCTTTCAGGTAATTTATGAATACCATGCCAGAAAAACTGCTTGTCTTTTGCGGCAAACCATTCGTCGAGCCATTTTCCAACTTCCTCGAAATTGCTGAAGTGCTGCTCTGCAAGCGCGTGCCCCATTGATGCGAAGAGGTGATAGTCAGATGGCGCCAGGTCTGGGGAGTACGGCGGGTGCGGAAGGATGTCCCATCCAAGCGATTTCAAGGTGTCTTTCACTGGTTTTGCTGTGTGAGACGGCGCATTGTCGTGTAACAAAATCACTTTGCCATATCTTTTGGCCCATTCCGGTCGTCTTTCGATTAATGCGTAGTTTAAATTAATCATTTGTTGGCGATAGCGTTGTGTATTAACGGTTTCGCCGGGCTTCAAGAGTTCATAATACACAATACCGCTCTGGTCCCACCAGACACAGAGCATGGTCTTCTTGCCGAAGCGATTTGGCCTTGGTGTTGATGGACCGGCTTCGTCAGGTGAAAGCCACAATTTTTTCCGCTTCGGGTTTTCAAAATAAATCCACTTTTCGTCACCCATCACAATTCGATACAAAAATGATTTCCTTTCGTGGCGTTGAAGCAGCATTTCACAAGTGACTTTGCGATTTTCCATTTGACGTTCATTCAAATTGTGTGGGACCCATTTACCGAGTTTATTGATCTTTCCCATTGCTCGTAAACGTCTGCTGATTGTTTCTTGTGATACATGTAATGCTTCTGCTAATTGCCGTTGAGTTTGAGTTGGGTCATCATCCAATAATTCCTGCAATTGCTCGTCTTCGCATTTTTGTGGTCTACCAGAGCGCTCACTGTCTTTCACATTGAAATCACCACTTTTAAATTGTCGAAACCATGTCTCACATGTTCTAATCGATGGAGCGTGTTCACCATATGTTTCTACCAGCAAACGATGACTTTCAACAGCCTTTTTTTTTTGATTAAATAAGAAAAGCAATGCGTGCCGCAAATGTTCTTTTTCAGGCACAAAACTCGACATGATCACTGAACGATAAAATAAAGACGCTAGTTTTTGGCGGACTCAACTTGTATGTGTGTTTGTAGTTTTAAATGTCAGACGAACAAAATGACGTATGTGTCAAATTAATACGCTGCGTACTTTTCGCTGGTGCCATCTCTTAGTTAAACCGGAAAAAACTTATGCATACACCTGGTAAATCTTATCCTTCATATAACCCCAAAGGAAAAAATCCAGGGGTGTCAAATCGCACGATCTGGGCGGCCAATTGAAGTCTCCGTTACGCGAAATGACACGTCTAGGGAACTTTTCCCGTAATAAATGCGATCGTTTCACGGCTTGTGTAGCACGTAGCCCCATCCTGCTGAAAATAAACATTATCTAGGTCCAGTTCTTCAATTTCAGGCCAAAGAAAGTCTGTCAGCATTTCTCGGTAGCGCAATCCATTGACTGTGACAGTGCAACTATCTTCATTTTCGAAAAAATACGGCCCGATGACGCCGCGAGCCCAAAAACCGCACCAAACTGTCACTCGTTATGGATGGAGAGGTTGCTCGTCAATCGCTCTTGGGTTTTCAGTGCCCCAGATGCGGCAGTTTTGCTTATTGACGTAGCCTTGAAGGTGGAAATGCGCCTCATCGCTCAAAATGATTTTCTTGAAAAAATTAGAGTCAACCGCTTGCATTTCCAATCCCCAATCGACGAACGTACGGCGTTGTCCATGGTCCGTCGGAATTTCCTGTGAGTAATCTATCTTATCTTGTAACAAATTTGTTAATTTAGGCAGGATGGATAGCAAAAACCGACGGTTATTTGTATAAAGTATGAGTTTATTGCTATAAGCAAAAAGGTCACGTATGCCCGTGAAAAAACAAAAACGATAAGAAAGGCTTATACATTGTTACGTGAGCGTCACGTGTTAAATCGACTAACTAAATCGATAAACAAGTGGGAGATTCAAATCTATCAATTTAAACTAACAACTAAAACAACATAATCTTTTAATCTTTTTCTTTTTCTATTATTGCAACAAAATTAGTACAGAATACAAGATCAATATTAGAAGAATTTTGACCACAATGTGCAACTCTCGATAACGTATCAGTGTTAACACATAATAATCCATGATCATAAGTCGCCTCCTCCAATATTTCTCCATTTCCATCCGTATCTCCACAATTCCAGGCTACATTGTGAGCATTAAAGTCTCCCATTATTAATGTTTCATCTGAATTAACATCAAATTCTAATAATTAATCGCACATCTTACAGTTACTGTACCCGGCCTACGATATATCGCAACTAAATTAAATCTAATATCTACATTACACACTTTAATTCCTACCACATCAATGTCCTCACTTATTTCTTTCCATCTTTGTAACACCTGAAACTCAACTTCATTGTTAATTATCATAGTAATTCCTCTGCTGTGTCCTCTACTAGCTTTACAGACTGTCTTGTATCCTGAAAAATAATACTATTTCGATTCTATACTTTTGGTCTCTACTAAAATGATTATTATTACTATATGATTATCGTAATTTGTTACTCTGTTTTTAAGTTTATTAACTTTATTATGCATTCCTCTGCAGTTCCAGACTGCTATTTTAAGGTTGAATGTTAAAAATAAAAAGTATACTATGACCAATAATACCTAAAATAAACTAAACCTAAAATCCTTATTATTATTATTATTTAATTGTTTTTTTTAAGCTGGAACGGTTATTGTGAGTTATTGTCCTATTCCCTTTGCCAATATTCCTTTTTGATTTGTTTCGCCATCATGCGGTATCTTTTAATTCTTTCTTCCTCTTTTTTTTGGTTGTTTGTTCTATATGTTCTTCGTTCCTCTTTTAAGTAATTTCTATTTGTTCTTTCTTCTTTCTCTTCGGTTTCCTCTTCCCTTCTTGTCAGTCTTTCTTCTCTTTCTTTGGCTACTATCACATTTTGTAGTTGTATCATTAGATCTTCATCTTTCTCCAAATAATATAAAAATTTCTTAATTGTATTATTCCTTATACTTCCTTCTGTTTCATCTCTAGTCTCCTCGTTGTCTTCCAGTCTTACATGTTTCATTATAGCTTTATCTTTGCTTCTTTTAAGGTGCAATTTCACGTAGCGTCAAAAAGCTAGCGGCTACCCCCACTCTGTGATACATTTCCTCTCAATAGTAAGCTGCCGATAAAACGCCAGCCGCTAAACGCCCGCTACTTTTTCATGGAGCGACAAATCGCTAGTCGCTGTGGATTTATATTTTCTGTATTTTTTAAATTTTTTCTATAGATTTAAATTCGTGTATGAAACTGACAATTAGGATGCGTGTCAAAGTGCGTTTAAACTGTCCAAACAGTATTTTATCGACAACATTACAAAATACATTGCCATCAGTAATAGCTAAAGAGATTAAGAAACGACGAATACTGGTGTTGTGTGCAATTATGCGAAAATTGCAAAAAAATGAAAAGAGACCGTACAGGAAGAAGCAATACTGGGTAGCACCATATCTAAAGGATCGTCCAGAGCACAGTTTTTATTATGTGTCAATTCCTAAACTGACCATAGAGAATGGAGTACGATTCCACAATTATTTCCGAATGTCCGCAACAC